TGGCCACCTCTGTCAGTTCTGGTTCCATGACAAGGCAGAGCCTCAGCTCTTGGGTAGCCCGCGAACAAAGCAGCAGTAGAAAGAGCCGTAGGCTATGTGAGCGGTCTCAGAGGATTGTGTCTGTTCTTCAGACATAACCATTCCCCAAGCCCCTGGGACGGTTTCTCCCAGGGCAGACCCCATCAGGAGCCCCACTGACCCCTTCCGTGGCCGGACAGCAGTGGTGAGGACAACTCCACAAGCTGCGTGCAGCTCTGCCTGTGCTGCTATCGCCTGCCCACCTGAGCAGCCCTTGCACATCTGGGATGCAAGTTGTGTTCAACGGAAATCAAAACGACCCAGCCACCTCCTGTTCATCGAGCTTCAGCTGGTCAGGAGGAAGGAAGAAATCGGAGGAGCAGATTTTCCTTGTGTTTTACAGGGTGGGAGCTTCGAATCAGATGCTCTAAAATTTCGCCCAGTTAAGCCATGCAGGTGGTTCCTGCAAGAAGCTTTGGCTGAAAGATTGCTGATGGTGGGTGTCCAACAATTCTTGAGAGAATCCTTCTTTCTCATCCAAACGGGAAGGTTCCTTTAGCGCTCTGTTTTCTAAAACCTTGTTTTTCTTTAGAGTGTGTCTGTCTGTGTGAGTATGTGTGTTTGGATGTCTGTGCAGGCCAGAAGGGGGCACCAGATTCCCTGGAGCTACAGGACACAAATGCTAGGGACCCAAGTCTGGACTTCTGAGAAAGCGCACAGCACCCTTAACTCTGAGCCACTCCCCAGCCCCTTAGGCCCCTGTTTTGAAGCTCAGTAAACAAATACAACAAGCTGAGGCACATTTGTCCCCCATACTCAGCCCACACCACCCATCCTGAAAGCTTTGCTGAGGGTTCCAAGGCACTAACAAGGAGTGAGGTCCATTTCTGCCTAAACCCAGTCACAGCTGGCTGGTCCCAGACGAGAAAGAAAGGCCCAAGGCCCGAGGGACCCATGAAGACCACAGGTCTGTGGGGAAGAGGGAGTAAGAGCCCATCCTCCTTCCCCTCCTCCCGAGCCCCTCTTCGTGGGGCTGCTGAGGCAGCAGAACCTGTTGGAAATGTCACCTATGAGGAGTGTCTGATTCCTGCAGGTCTGCATGCCGCCTGTTCTGGGAAGGCGCCTTGGCAACCACACACAAAGGTCCCTTCAATTTTTAATTGAATCCTAAGAGGTCTATTTTTTTTTTTTTTCTGGAGGTGCCAGCTTACAGTAATTACTAGAATCCCCAAAAGGGCCAATCAGAGATTCATAGAAAATAAAGATAGACAAAAAGACCTCACCCAGTTGGCTGTTGTCACTTTGCTCCCAATGCTCTGAAGATCCAGGGCAGAGGTCACAGTTCTTGCCATCTTGAGCTATTAATAGGAGTCTTGAAATCAATCCCTGCCTGGTGAGATAAGAGAAACTGATTATCGTGCCCCGTACGTCTCCTCTGGGGGCCAAGACACCGCCCGTTTTCATCAGCTGTTTATCAAAATCAGATTATGAAGGAGTAATCAGATCAGAACTGTTTACGCCTGCCCCAGCCTTGACTTACAAATGGCTTTCCTGTGCGGCCTGAACTGAGCGAACCGCTCTGACCTACGAATGAACCTGCCTTTGTATTCCCTGTACCTTGTTCTGAACCTGTAACTCCCCAAAGACCACAGGTACTATGCCTGGCTGCTGACTGCCAGGCAGGTGAGGCTGGTTCCAAGGGGCAGAAGATTCTATCTTGGAGATAAGTCATAAGTCAGTAATAGGTTGTTCTGAGTGCTCCCAAGCAGAGACAATGGAGCATTTAGTAGGTTCTGGAGTTACGTAAGATGGCGCTTTCCAAACAACAAGGAGGCAGGACACCCAGCCAAAGGGCCGAGGGCAGGAGGCCCTGTGGCCTGGTGGTTCTAGGGAGAGAGTGGGGCCAGGGCTCCCCGGGGTCAGCTACCAGCTGAGGCTCTGACTCAGGGGAAGGAGGGCCAAGTGTCTTGGCTCCAGGCAGAGGCTGGAAAGCTGGGAGAGACAAAACCACAGGTCTGTGCTCAGGGACTGGGGAAAACACATTTTGGGAATTAAAGAAAAAAAAAGCTCACTCTGTGAAGTTACAATTTGGGAGTTTTTCCTGCTTGGCTGCCATCCTCTTCTGGGCTGGTGTGGAACCAGGCCAGCGTCGGAAGGTGTTGTGTGTGAGAGGAAGAGAAGCCCTGGGGTCTGAGGAAAGTCAGTCAACGCCGGTGAGCTGTCAGCAGTGCTCGGAGCCAGGCCTTCTGCATGAACTCTCCCCTTCCGGTCATCCTCCTTTCACAATAAAAGCCCCTGGACCAGCGAGAGGAAAAACCCCTTTCCTTTCTCTTTCTGGAAGTCTCCTCTCAACGGGTCAGCTATAGCCAGAACCCCTGCAGCTGCTGACAGCACAGCCGAGGCTGACGGGAAATCATCTGTGTCCCAGCTACTCGGGAGTTCTGTCAAAATCCTGGTCAGACAGAGTAGGTGGCTACCTACACGCTTGGGTTTGGCTCCATGATTCACTTCTCTAGGTCAGAGAAATGTGCTAGTCTTTAGGAAAAGACCTCTTACTGTGTGGCTTGCACTCACGGGAGCTCCGTATCAGCCACGCACACTACATTAGAATCTCAGAGAAAAACCAGGTCAGCTGTGGCATGTGCGTGTGCCCGGGAAGGTGGCAGGAGGCCCACCAAGAAGAGAGAGCAAGTTCTCAAGTAGTGACCGCCGCCTTAGCCACTGTCGCCAGAGTTATGGGTGGTGGGTGGGAGGTTTGCTCCAGGGTCCTTGCTCTTGCGGTAACCCGAGCGGGGCCAGCCGGAGGTCAGGTTTCTCTGGGGTTCCCTGGCCCAGTCCCCAAATATTCTCAAGACATCACTCTGCTACACCTTTACCCCCTGGTCACACTCAGCTTTTGAAACCCTAAGCTGCCTGTACTTAAATGATGGATCCCTTTCTCCCTTGAGAATTATTTAACATCTTGTCGTTTTGCTGCGATCTAAGCAAAACATTCCTGAAGGACGGAAGCTACAGGAAGAGCGCTCTCTGGGAAGATGCCCCCTTTGTCAGAGCGTGCGGGTTCTACCCTGATGGGAAGAACTTCATCCAGCTCCAGGCACACACTTTCCCGTCTCACTTTTCCACATTGGGGGTTCACCCCACCTGCTTCAGCAGCTTCCGGTCTGCCCTGGACAGCAGTGTGTCTAACATACTCACGGTTCGGAAGATGGAGGAAACAGCTTGGTGGATCCTAGGAGGATCTGCTAGGAGCACTGCTCTGCTCACAGTGCTCCGGCCTGGAGTCAGCCTCTGGTCTGGAGTCACACCCAAGCAGGCAGACAACACCGTGAGTGCTTTTGGGGAGAAGGGCCTGGAAGGAGGCGCAACAGAATAAGGAGAGATCTTACCTAGAGAGCGTCATCCCCCAGTTCCAGGTCCGGGGCTCCATGGGTTCTCCCTGCTTATTCTTTGCTCTCCTGTGTCGGTGTTCAGGACACCCTGCCTTGCACAGATGTGACGCCACTGCAGCCAGAGAGGACGGTCCCACCAGAACCTGGGACCCTGTGATCTCTGCACTGCAGTGACGGTATCACCTCAGGGTTGGGATCTCTGCTTCTCCCAACACTAACTGTGACTGTCTGCCCCAAGCCCCCAGGTTTAGAGTCCTTCTAGGGATCTGCCTCAATCTAATGGTCTTCTAGCCTTTAAGTTCCTAGACTTTTCAAGGCTCTCTACACACGCATAAACTCCTGCTGCTCTTACAGCAGATGCTGTCCACAGATGAAACCATTTGCTTATGCTTTGAATTTTTAAAAACACATGGCAATGTATGTCTTATACAGCACAATGACCAGCTTGTATGGAAGTTGCTCCTGTAGCTAGGTGTGGGGAGCAGGGACCGTGTCGAGGAAGAGTGTCACAGGCTATGCCAACCAGCCACAGAAGGAAGAAGCATGTACTAACGTTTCTTGGATAGTGCTATTTCATTTCACTTCCCCGTGATGCCAAGGCAGTTTGATTTTTCCCTAATTTACCTATACAGAAACTACAAATCACCTAGGCAGAAACTAAAAAACAAATGGTTTGCCTGATGTCACAGCACTCGGTGGCCGTCAGACTTCTAAGCCTGGAGGGACATCCGGCTCAGTGTATGTGTGGGGACTTACTCTTACTCTCTGCGTCTAGAATCTCCCCTACCTGAACGAGAAGAGATGCGCTCACAGCATGCCCGACTCTTGCAATGCCTGAGTCAGTACAAGGGCGTCCTTGGAGGAGGAGGTCATGTGAACATATATGTAACTGTGGAATACGCTGTATCCCATTCTTAGACCCCGCCTGCTTTATCTGACATTGACTGATAGAAATTGGGAAGAAGCATGCCAGGTGACTCAAAAGATTCCCGCCACCTCACATTCTACCTGGGGACCAATTACAACCTTGACTCTACCCTAATGCAAAGCGCAAAATGCAGACTGCTGAGGACTAAACCAGTATCCCTGCCACACTGGTTTTGTCTATCCCAAAGCAGTTTTCTTTTCATTTTTTAATTTTTTTAAGTTATGATTTTTTAAAATTAGCATAGGATGTAATGTGTTTATGACCTTTGAAAAATATGTATTTTGTCCTAATTCAAACCAATCCCACCACTGCCACTCCTGTTCCCCGCTTGCCTTTTCCTGGTCCTCTCCCATTTCCCCTTAGCCATTACCCTCCCTTCCCCCACTCCCTCATTAAGCTCTCTTTGTCCCTTATGATCCTCTTTTAGGTTTAATGAGCTACACACACACACACACACACACACACACACACACACACACGAAAGCTCTAGTCTCTACATACCTGAGAAAACAGTATCAGTTGTCTTGCTGAACCTGGCTTATTTCACTTAACATAATGATCTCTGGCTTCTGACACAAACACTAACTCGAGAGACGTTACATATACCAGTTCACGGGTACCACGTGGTCGAATTGAAACATAGTCAACAGCATGTCTCTGTGGATTATGAGAAGTTTATTAAGAAAGGAAGGACCCCTTTAAAAACAGCCACCTCAAATGTATAGAAGCACTTCCTCCTCTGCATTGACCAAGGCCGGGAGAGGAGAGTGCAGCACCAAAGCGCAGACCCATCACCCCCACGGGGACAGTACACATTCAGATAAGAGACTCACAAGGCATGAATTCCTTTCCGTGGCTTAGCCGCTAAGCAGCTGGCCTTCAAATAGGCTGAACATATGTGGGACAGCTAAAGCACACTGTGGGTTTCTTAGCCAGAGTAAAACCCAGTGGCATGTTTCCACAAACGTGAGCAGGCAGAGACTGTCACCGGGAAGCAGCAGGGCACGTTCACCTTTGCAAATGACAGGGTGCTCTCAGGTTCATTTCGGTAGCTGCTCCACAGCTGCCCCGCCTAACACCCTCAGGGAGCTTTTATCCAGTCTCCCCTGCAGTTTCATAAATGTGCCCCAGACACCCTGCACACATAAGGAAGTGAAAGCATCAGGAGACCGTTACGTGTTGGACACTGACTTAAAAGAAAACATGTACAGAGTGGAATTTCACTGTGGGGATACCCTGGAAGGTGCTCAGAAGAGAGTATCTACGCTCTCAACACAAGGAGGGGAACATGAGGCCGGGCACTTGACCACCGTTTCTAGCCTCTGGAGTAGCGATGGTTTAGGCATGGCGCCAAGGTGCTGCCTACACCAATTTGGACGGTCACGTGGAGGCGCAGGCCCACTGCATGAGCTCAGTCATACTGTGTACACCCAGACTGTCCCATTCCTCTTCCGTGTCCTGGCCACTGCTCGTTTTTGAAGTCTTGATTCGTTTAATCATCCTGAACAAGGCTGGGAGACAGGGTTGTGCAAACCTTCCTGTTTTACAGTTTGGAAGGCACAGCCACCATCCTGGCTCCTGACAGATCTGAAGTGTAACATTTTGCTGAGTGAGAATCTGCGCCTGCTCCTTCTCTGTTGCCCTTACTGAAGCTTCAATATTTGCAAAACAGAACGTCAAAAATACTTCAAATCTAGCCCAAAGCCATGTGTTATTCAGGCAACACAATTCTTACACATGCCAGGGTACAGTCCGCTTTTAGCAGAGGGATCCTTGCATTTGGTTTTGTTCTTTCTATTCACTTACAACTCAGCCCCCTCTTTGGGGAGTTGAGACTAATTTGATCATAATAGTAAAGTCCCCATTCTATGCAGACATAGCAATGCCAGCTCTGGGGGGTGCTAGAAAACAGGAAACCTGAAGGCTAAAATCATTCTACCCTTTAAAATGCCCCTTGATTCGTTCGTAAAGCATAGTGCACCAACTGTGTGCGGAATCTTAATTTTCTCATAAAACAAACAAACAAAAGAACCCAAAGCTATTGAGTTTGCTGGACAGAGGTATTCTGAGTGCGCTTCAGAACTTCCGGATGTACAGTACTGACATGAAAACAGCGTCACTTGAAAGGACGGCCTGTGACATCCTGGCTTCTCTAACACTTTAACACTTTCCCATTTTACAGGAAACTACCACAAGTCAATGTAAGTTGGTTATTCTTAACTGTGTGTGTGTGTGTGTGTGTGTGTGTGTGTGTGTGTGTGTGTGTATACATGCGAAGGCCAGAGGTCATCTGTCTACTTTGGGATAGTTTTAGTTTCTTGAGACAAACTCTCTCATCATGGACCCAGAATTCGAGCATTAAATTAAAGCTGCTGGTCAAGGAGCCCCAGGGACCGCCTGTCTCTGCCTCATCAATGTGAGGACTGCAAGCACACGCCACTGTGCCTGGCCTTTTTACATGGGACCAAGTTCTTACCAGGATGGCCAGGACTTTGCTCACGGAGGTATCTCCACAGCCCAGAGCTGGACATTATTCACACACACACAAGGTTTTCCAGGTCAGTATCGGGAGGCTGTGTTCATGCCATTTTGTCTGAGATCAGTTCCCCAGTGGGTTTTTATTTTGGTTTGGTTTGGTTTGGGTTTTTGGGTTTGCAAGACAGGGTTTCTCTGTCTGCTTTGGCTGTCCTGAAACATGCTTTGTAGAGCAGAAATCTGCATGCCTCTGCCTCCCAAGTGCTTGGATTAAAGGTGTGTGCTGCCGTGAGGCTCCTCTGGTGGAATTTTGCCCATATACTCTGCTGGGCCTCTCTGACCTGAGCTAGCAGCTTTAAAGCACGTCAGAACATAAAAAGCTTAAACATCTGCTAACCAGGGGTAAAAGATAGTTACAGTCCTGTGGCTGACAGGGTGTGTAGCTCACACAGAACTGACTCCACTCTCGCCATCTTAGAACTCTTCACCTACCCTCTCACAGGATGCATGTTCCCATGGGGTAAATTTTGTGACCAGGAAAGTGTACGGACAGGCAGGGTGGAGAGCAAGCCCAGTGAACTGGGACCTGGAACTCCTCCTTTTTAAAACACGGACTGAGAGCCACTCATGATGGCTGTTACACGCCTTCCTGTGCATACAGATGCGGGTCTGAGCTGAGTAGCAAATTACAAGCCAAGCCTGTAACCAAGAACCTGCATCTTAAGCCGAAACTGAAACCACATACCCTGCCCATGGACATATCACACAAACAAGGACTCTGTGACATGCTGCCTCTAGGTTGACTGTAAAAATCATCATTAACAGGACTTCAAAGGGAGTCCTCCGTGCAGGACCCAGGCCCATCAGAGGCACTTGGTTGGTAAGCGAGATACTTCTCAACCTATCACAAATGTGCTGTTAGGATACGCGTTTCTTGCGGCAAGCGCTCTTGCTTTTGCTCTAAGAGTGTTTCAAACCCGAGTGATAATGTTTTACAAGTTCTTTTCCGCAGTGGTTGGTTTCCGGGAAAGCGGATCTTCAGACATCTTCCCTCGTGGCTGTAATTTCTCCTAACACCTCGGTACAGTACGGTACAGCTGCCTGAGTTCAGCCAGAGCTCATTAAACAGACGTCTGAGCATCATTAGAAGGAACAATTAGTTGGAAATTAGTCTTAATGATTTGTTTTAGATGATAGAGTGGAGGCATAATATAATTATTTTTAAACCTTCTGCATCGTTAAGAATGCAACGGCACCACCTTCAATCACGGCGAATCAGACGTCAGGATGCTGCAGACAGTCTCGGAGGCTGCGGCCCACTCCTGGATCCAGAAGGCTGCACCCCAGCCAGGTGTCTAGAATTACTCAGCCTTCCTCTTCTCCTAGTTATGCTTTTTTTTTTTAAAGCTATTTCATACCTTAAAGACATCTCTACTGTGGAAAAAAAAAAAAAGCATTCAACACAGAGACTCAGCTATCTCTGCATCTTTCTCCAAGACACCATGTGGATAACAGCAGGTGGCAGAAGGGGTTGGAAGAATCTGGAGTCTGGGAAGCGCCTGAGACACCAGTTGGCGCCACTACACTGGGCTCCCAGGCAGGAAGGCTGAGGGTGGCACGGAGGTAAGCGTTAGGCGTGAGCCCCTGGTATAGCACCAGCAGACCTAGGGCCTTAATTCCTTGTTTGTTGTTCTTTTTCCTTTCCTCGTTCACCAAATCAACTTGAATCTTGTTTCTTATAAGAACTTTTTAAAAGAATAAGTTGTTTTAAAATTAAGTGTGTGTGCTGGGGGGCATCCAGTGCCCCTGGAGCTGGAGGCAGCTGTGAGCCGCTCAACTTGGCTCTGGGACGAACCTGAGCTTGCGTCCTCTGCAAGAGCTCCAACCTGTGGGCTGTCTCTCCACCCCTGTCCTCACAAGGAAGCTTTAAAAAGTACAATAGCAATTCACAAAAGTTCTTTTGTTTTCTGAAAAGTATCCAAAAATATTCATTTAGAGAGTGAGTAAGCATTTGCTGTTGAAGTCTACCTTTAGAAAACTGTTTTTCTACCTGGGCTGGTGCTGTGCTCTCCCCCCTCTCGCTCTGAGCCAGGCTGTCAGGCCTTTGGTTGTTGGCCCTCAGAGGCCATCAGGGCACGCAGCCCAACGTAAAAGACCTGGTATCTGTGCTTCCACATCACAAAGCAAGCCAGCAAGCACACCAGGCCGCAGCCCAGGTTCAGAACCATCTGGATGATCAGGAACAGTTTGAAAGTGCTGGTGACGCTGGCACAGTCGGTCACGTCCCTGTAGGCAAAGGTCCTGCTGAGAGGCTCCGAGGAAGGCAGTTTGCAGTGGCAAGAATCAAGGTAGGTCTCACAGGTAAACTGTGCAAGCAGGGAATAGTGGTGGGCTGCAAAGGCCACGGCCAGTGTGCAGGCCACCAGGCCCAGCGTGCTCAGCAGGAAGTAGAAGACCTGCAAGAGAGAGGAAGAGCTCTCCGTTACATGGAGGATGCAACCACCGCAGAACAAACCAGCGAACGCTGTTTTACTGAGGCCAGGGACATTCTTGCAACAGGGTCTCCTGTACCCCAGGCTGACCCTGAACTTGCTCTGTACCCGAGGATGGGCTTGAACTCCCAGCCTCCCTCCCTCTGGTGCTCAGTGCTGGGATCACAGGTATATGCCACCATGGCCGGCTTTAGAGCGAACTCTTGAGAACAGCCCTTACGCCCCTCGTCATGTAGATGTTGGCCTTCCCCATGAATTGCACAGACCTGTTGGCCTGCCTGCAGAATGTTTATGTCTAGATTTAGCAAGCATCATAAATGAGTCCCAAACCAGCCCTCGCTCCCAGATGGCACGCCACACTTAGTTTTTAAATTGAGAAGTGCCAGTCACAGGGTCGAAACAAGATCTGGAAGTAAAGGCCAGGTTTCTGTAATGAAAACGCCATGTTGGCCAAAATTATTACAAATTGACCAACTGACGATAAAGGTTAATGAAAAGCAGACGTGCTTGGTGTGGCGGCTATGCCGCTGCCGCCGCCGCCGCCGCCACCATGGCTGCCAAGACCCCCAAGCAAGAGGCCTCTGGGAGGAAAAAGAGATGATGTCATAGAAGGCAGCCATGGCCTACCTGTTAGCTCTGGGCCTGTTCACGCCTGGTTAAAGACCTAACCCTGCTGGGAAGGAATTTCGGACTCTCCATAAACATCTGCTATTTAGTCCACTTACATCCGGAATGCTGGGGCCAAAAGCCGTGGGTTCTCACTGACAAGGCCACAATAAAATGTACTGTACCACACAATAGATGCTCTCGTGAGAGGTTCATACCCTGGACACAGACTCTGGGACTAGTGTCTATAGGGGGCAGGGGCAAGATTTATACTGCTGAACAGACAAAAGCCACCCCTTACAGGGAGCAGCTCTGGGATGGCTGAGGCCAGTCTTGAACTCCTGATTCTCCTGCCCCCTGCCCTCAAGTGCTGGGATTTCAGGCAGGAGCCACCAGGCCTGGCTAAAACAACTTGTGTCTTATAAAAGTAACAGGATGTATTTGACATGTTCAGTGTTCCCTGGAGGGAAAAACATGAGGTAAATGCAAAGCGGCAGCAATATAAAATTTAGAAAGGATGTGTTTAATCTATGATAGTAAAAGGATGGCTTTGGTCCTGTCCCAGGACATTCAGTGACTATATTTATGTAGAAGTGGACTGTTTGGACCTTAAAAATATGGATTTATTCTATGAGGCTAATTTGGGCTAGAATACTGGAAACATTATGGAGTATTCTGACATATTTGGGCTTGGTGATTGAATTGAAATTCCTGGGTTTGGAAAGCCAGTTTGCGCTGGTCTCACGTGACTGCTGGCAGTCACACCTGTGACTGGCAGGACCCAGTTAAAATGGCCACTTCCCTCCGGGCAGTCACCTGCCCCACGCTGATTCTTTTTGCCGCACCGTTTTCAGTTTTTGGTTTTGGCCACCAAGCAGACAGAGCGTGTGACTGCTCCCCTGTCACATGCATACGGGGCCCAGTCACACCCAGAGGCACATGACCTTGAACTGTAGCTATTTACAACACTAACCTCGGGGAAAGCCCATTTACTGACAATAAGAGGTCTGTCTATCTTAAAGAAGATTGGGCTGGCAAGATGGCTCAGAGGGTAAGGCTCCCGCCACCAAGTCTGATGACTCGAGTTCAATCCCTGGAACCCACGAGGTGGAAGGGGGAACCAACTCCTGCAAGACGACCCCTGACCTCCACAAGCATCATAGCACACACAAGTAGAAAATAAACAATGAAAGACAACTTAAACTTTTCTAAATGACAGATTTTGTCTCAAATAAGTATTTGCCGGAGGCCATTTACCAAGCACATAGGAGTGAAGAAGTGAGGCAGCAGGCCGGGCCGCCTAAATTAAGGCCTGACCCCCAAGTGCTTCCTGGGTAGGCATGCCCATTGGACGTCATACTAACCGCCATTTCTTTACGTGTAAATTTGGAAAGCTAGCTCTAACCCTGTCTTGGAATCGTCATTACAAGGATCAAGAGCTGGGCTCTTGGAACAGCACAGCCACCCGGCTGGCTCTTGGTGAGTTACAGCATTTCCAGGGCTCTCCTGGTACCCACTCTGTCAGGCTTGTCTTCCGTCCTGTGGGAGGAAGGGCATAGGCATGGTCTGTAAACACCAACACAAGCCCAGGTTGCTTAATTGTAATCTAGCTCCTTAAATACACAGAACCAGCAGCTCAAGGACAGAAGGAGCCACATCCCTCAGCAAAGAGACTGGAGCACACATCGCCGAGTCGGGCAAGCTGCTTTCTCTTGGGCCACAGCCAGGCACTCAGGCCTGCTGGTGGCACCTTCCTTCCCAGTGCCCAAGTCCTCTGACAGCAATGGGCTTCTGCCGTAAAACCCACAATTTAAAACCAAGCGGCTCGTTTCACCCATGTGACAGGAACAAACTATCAATGAAGCAGGTGCGCAGAGTGACCTTGTGATACTGACAGCAGCCTCTGCGGCTGTCCTACACAGCATCCCTGGAGGCCGGCTCTGTGCTTATGTAATCCCCAGGCTCGGGCTACCCTGCTGTAATTGGAACCCGCTGTGGCTTTCCCAGTTGGTGGCTCTGGGAGGAGGGGGTTCTGTTCTGATTTAATGATGTCCCCTTGGCCTGAACGGTGAAGCCTGGCTGCTGCTGGGAAAGCGCCTGCCACAAAGCAGCTCCATAGAAGGCCTGCAAGGCGCCTGCCAGTACATGACCTTCAAGGTTCAGCAAATGCTGGAGAGCCCTGAGAAAAGGGGTCCCCCAGAAGGGCAGGCAGTGCCCACCCAGGCAGTCCACACCCAGTGCCAGGGCCGGAGGAAGAGCCCAGGGGAAATCGGGCACGTGCTGGCAGCCTCTGAGGTCTAAGACCAGGGGAATGTGTGTATGTGTGTGTGTGTGTGTGTGTGTGTGTGTGTGTGTGTGTGTGAGAGAGAGAGAGAGAGAGAGAGAGAGAGAGAGAGTTTGTACAGAAGACTCCATCACCATAGCATGATGATGGCTTGCCCTGTCTAACAGAAACTAAATTCTCATAAAAAGCTTAATCTAGGGCACCTGGGGTAGAGGACTTAAACACAGCCAGGCAGTGGTAAGCCCCTCCTAAAACCCCATTTCATTCCCTCTAAAATGTGGTGGGAAGCACAGGAGACACCAGCTGTGGCTGCTGGAGCCTGGATGAAGCTCTCTCTGGACGGAAGATACCACAGAGGCCGTCTGAGCTTGCTGGCAGCAGCCTGGCTGAAGGTCACCTTGAGGAGAAGATAAAGAGGCTCTTGTCTGTCAGTGTCTGTCACGGCGAAGGAGAGAAAGAGCTAATGAGGTCTCCCCGTGGGGATCTGCCACCTGGCTGACTCCCGCAGTCGCTTTTCTTCTTTCTTTCTCCTCCCCCACCCCTTCATTTATAAATCTAAGGTACAGATGTTGAAAAGCCTGGTAGGGGCTCTCACTGAAAGGGAGGCTTCACTTCTGCTGTTTGGGGGAATCATGAAGCAAGGCAGGAGGCAGGTGATTTCCATGACTGGAGAAAATCCAGGTTAGGGTGATCTTACTTCCTTAGCAAGCAACTTCGTCCTGGGTTCTTGGCTTTTCCTTTTATTTTCCTTCCCTCTCATCACCACGCCTTGTTAGCTGGTCAACCTCACCAAAAAGGAGCCTGAACTGGTGTCTGCTCACTCTAGCCTTCTTTAAAAAAACAAAACAAAACAAAACAAGCCCTTAGGTCAAAAAGGTGACTTTCAGGGCTGCAGAGATGCAGCAGTAGTTAAGAGCACTGGTTGCTCTTACAGAGAACGCAGGTTCGGTTCCCAGCGCCCACACAGTGGTTCACAGCCATCCTTTAAAAAGCGTGGCACACTGCTTTTCATACCACCATCTTTGAGTATATAACCTTCTCCTTTTCCCGTTCTTCCATCCTTCTTCTTCCGCTCTTCCTTTTCTTCCTCCTTGTCCTCTTCCTTCTTTTTTCTCCTCCTTCTTCTTCCTCCTCCTCCTTGAGGCAAGATCCCATGACACAGCTGGCCTCTAACTCAGTATGTGGCTGAGGCTGACCTTGAACTTTTGAACTTCTGATCCCCTTGCTTTCTACTTCCTGAGTTATGAGATTACAGCCATGTGCCACCACATGCCATTTATTTGGTATTGGGTGTCGAATCTAGGGTTGCATCCATGCTAGGCAATCACTGTACCAACTGAGTTCTATCCCTGACATTTTAAACAACTATTTTTTATCTTTGAGTTTTAAAAATATTATTGACTTCCTCTTGGGCTTTACATTTCTTGGTTGCAGCAAGCAAAGAACATGCTGAGAAGAGTAAACTATAGACAACAAGAGACACATACAGAGCATTCTCCATTCTGGGTTAAGGGGCTGAGTGAGACCCACCAGCCATGACCTCTGAAGGAGTGTCTAAGCTCTCCCACCTCTGAGGGAGTATCTGAACCTCTCCTTGGAGATGACATTTGTGCACTGAGGTGCTGAACACACTGCAGCCAATTGCGCTGCCCTGACAGACAGAAAGTCCACAGCAACGAAAGGCACATACCCGCCAAGCCCCAGGCACAGCCTAGCGGCTTCCCAGAGACACCCCCAGCATACCCCCCTTTCTGTCTCGGTGCTCCCAGCCACAGGGGGATTGCAATGTTTTATTATTGTTTTATTATTGCAATGTTCCAAATACCCCTAGATATGGAAGCGGGCGCCCAGAGATGCACCTTCCCTGGCCAAGTGTTTTGCTGAACTGGTGACTGTTTGATATTCCTTTTAGGAGTTCAGAGGCCCAACAATGGAAAGGCCCAGCATTACGTCTGTGCCTGGACCACTGCTCTCCTGGGCTGCCTGACAGTGAGGCTTCCAGGGTCATCAGACATTTAACACCTTAAAACACACTCTTGTTGTAATCACACTTCTGTGAAATGGCTGAAAAGGGGGAAACTTACTTACCTTCATAGAGAACTGGACACATGTCTTCTCATCCACTTGATATGAGACACAAAGCATGAAGAGTCCAAGGTAGGCCACCACGCAGACCTGCAGCCGGGAGCACAGGAGAGAAAACACGGTTGGGGCGTGCCAGGACCCGCAACACCGCTTCAGTGCACTCCACCAGAACTGCCCAATTTCCCAGGCCCTTCAGTTCATTTTATTCACATGATTTGTGTTTGTCTGAGCTTGTGAAACACAATTCTAAAGATGCAACTTTACTAGTTTTAACTGAGAATGTGTCTGTGTGTCCGTGTGTGGGTGTGTGTACATGATTGTAGCGTCCTCAGAGGCCAGAAGATGTCGTCAGTTCCCGGGAGCTGGAATGCAGGAAGCTGTAAACCTCCAACATGGGAGCTGAACCCAGGTAGGTCCTCTCCGAGAGCAGTGTGCGCTTTTAACCAGGGCGCCGCCTCTCCAGCCCAACGGAACATGGCTTTAAAGCAGAAAAGCCATTACTTTAGCCAGTATTTATCAAGGTCCTCTGTGCTCTAGGTAGTATAGAAGATAGTGCAGAGCATGAAAAATAAAATTTAATCTGTTTGATTAGTGTATGTCCAGGAGAGGCCAAAACCAACTCACATACTACTCAAAGGTAGGACATTATCTGCCACATGCCATTCAGAGACTTCTAAAAGGTTACAGAAATTAAGTCTAATAGAAAAATAAAGGTTTTGCCTAAAAGGTCGGCTTTAAAAGGCCTATTAACATCACAGCCACTAGCGGCATGCTGGAGCTCCTCTGAGGCTTCCTGTGTCTTTCTTCATGCCATTGCCACACAACCCTGTAAAGCAGGTGTTGCTATGACCCTGTTAAAAGAGACAGAAGGGAAGCCGGGAAGACTCAAAGCAGGCCTGGGGCACACAGAAGGCAGCCTGCTGACAGTGGGTGCTGCGGCCACAGCCCAGCGATGAGACATACAGGGCAGGCTAGCACAGCAGTCGAAGACCCACAGGAAAGCTGTGACAAGACTCAGAGGAGAAAAGGCAGGGCAGAGATGTACGGGGCTGCCAAGACGGTGGCTTGGCTCCCCAGCAGAGCAGTGACATGGCCTCGGGTACATTTCAGGAAAGTAAGCACAGATGCCTGGTGACGTGGTGAGGTACCGAGATGCTACTTCACCAACCGGAACAAGATTAATACATTTGGAGGCTGGGTGTACCGGCCCACAATTGCAATTTCAGCACTCTGGAGGCTGAGGCAGGAGGATCACTGTAAGTTCCAGATAACATGGCTTTTTGTTTGTTTGGCCATTTTGGTTTTCGGTTTTCTTTTCCAGACAGGGTTTCTCTGGGTAGCTCTGGCTGTCCTGGAATTCACTCTATAGGCCAGGCTGGCCTCCAACTCACTGGAATCAAAGGCGTGTGCCACCAAGCCCAGCTCAGACAACATTTCTAAAGAACCACATCCCTGGAATCATGAAGAGATTCGAGTGGGAAACAAACTGAGCCTGAGCGAGGTGGCTCTGCAGCACAGGACAATGTCCTGGAGCCCGGTGGATGACTCGAAGGCTGCGCGGCCCCTGCTTCTAAGTCAGGGCGCAAGCGCTTTTTGAAAGAACTTGTAAAACGTATTCCATCAGCGCGTGTTGATGACCTACGATGGCGGGTCTCATCGTAGCGCCTTCATCCCTGTACGTAAAACATCTTCCATTCACGGCCTTCACTGCCCTGCCCACTCCAATGATCCCCTTCTCTTCCCAACCGGCCCCTCCCGTTTCCACGTCTTTAACTACATTTTTAAACATTCCAGAGGAGCATGAGTTTGACGTGGGCTTCACTACATAGCCTCACGCAGAAGATCTCCAGAGCTGAAGCAGAGGAACAAAGCCCTCTCCCCTTCAGCAGCAGCAAGCCAGACAGATGTTCTCTCCTTACTCCTGTCACACCCCGAAACGCACGCCTGGGCTTTCTCCTCAGCTTCTGTCAGCGGGATCAAGATTTCTCCCCTGAAACTGTCTCTGTCCCTGGAGGCTGCTGGCTGAAATCTCAGTTGCCAAGACTGCCCTCCTTCTGGGGATGAGATGAGGACTGCCTGACCAGCATCTGGAAATTGATCACAGTCCCCCGCCCCCAGAAGACCCCTTTCACTGGCTGCTATCCCTCGCCACCCTCACTACACCTGACCTCTGCCAATGCACTGCGTAGCATGGTAATGCCCGGCCACACTTAACAACACGCGGCTTGCCCATCTTCTGAGCTCTGTGGCCTGCACAGCTCGTGCTGGGACAGAGAAGTGAAAAGCACAGTCTCCCTCCCAGACTGACCCGGCCGTCCAGATGAAAATGCCACGCAGCCGAGGTGTGAACAGCACCTCCGCTGTGGGGGTGCCCAGAGGATGAGACTGACCCGACGCAGGCCTGGCGGGCTTCCTGGAGGAAGAGGGCTGAGCATACGACTGTCGTGACCTATAAGAAGTAACTGAAATCGTAGGAAATGCTGGCCCAGCTACAGAGTCTTGTGAAATTAGAGAAGTGTCCAAGTTACCCACTTTGGACAGAAACAACCTCAAATACACTTCTTTCCACTTTGGGACATCGTTACAGGCTTGAGTCAGCTCCGTACATGTGAGTGAGTTAGCTCGCAGAGGCTGGTGGGGAGCTTCTTCTGCCCCACAAGCTTTGCATGAACTAACAATGCTTTTTCCCCCTGTCATCACTTCTTATCGATAGTGTGTACAAGGATGCTCTCGAAAAATTGTATTTATTGAATTCTTCAAGCTGAAAGTTTTATGGCCACAGGGAAAGAAACTAGAGTTCTCATGCCAGACTGAAGGGCTCGCTTTCCGAGCTGGCAGGGTGTGGACATGCCCAGAAGACGGCATGCTCCAATTTCCAGGCAAGGAGCAGAGAGCATGCTGACGCAGATCTCCCGTCACATGAGGCGGGAGGAGGCCCACAGAGCGTGAAGTGGACACTAGTGGGAGGAGGCGATTAAGAAGTTATTTGATGGAGCAGACAAAGGTCCAGGTGGCCCAGCGGTGTCACACTGCACAAAGCCCAGGGAGACACGAGGTCTGAACCTCAGTGCTGAGAAGCATCAGGCCAGGCTCACTGAAAGCCTGAGGGGGGGGGGGGGGTCCGTCCTCCAACTGTATGGATGAGAACACCTGGAAGCATTCTTTTGAATGGAAAGGAAAGACAAACCACTTTAACCTGTCTTTGGACATGTCTGCTGTTTGCTTCTCTACCCCACAATCTGTAGAAAGCTCTGTCTGCACATGGGCAGGTCTGCCTCACTCCCGTGTGCTGGCGAGCTAAGCAGGGCTGGAACTCTCAGAATGTCCCGTCTGTTTTCAGACCCAGGGGTCCCGGATTGTGCCACGCAATGGCCTTGCATATTTGATCTACTGGGCTGCAGAGGGACCTGTTAAGGAATTAGGAGTGGGAGGCAGAACAATGCAGTGAGGTGTGAGTATAAATGTTTGTTTGTTTGTTTGTTTGTTTTTAATTTTGCCAAGGCAAAAAGGTGCCACCCAAACTATTCTGCAAACAATGAGAATTACTGTCATTCCTCTCCCTCATGTGTAGTTATGGTCTCACTATCTCCAGTTTATTTGTTTTCTTTCCATTGTTGACAGAGCTAATGGGGTTATTGGGGGATACAACCTTCTCCTGCCCAACACCTCTCATTGTTCCTCTTCCCTTCCCGGCCTATCGATCACGGGAAACCTGAAACGTGCTCCTTCTGTAAGTATCGCATGCTAAGTGCGTCCATCCAATCAATATCGTAACAAGAGGAACGGAACCTCTTCCCGTGGATACGCAGTCAGCGGACCACCCACGGAGGCACAGGGCTGCGTTCTCACTGGACTTTCCCACAGAGGGTCGCTATAGACGGCCACCTACACTATAGAATTTAAGGCAGACATTTGGAGTCCTTTTCAGCAAATGCCAAATGTATTGTAGTCTATCAGTGTGCTGTGGTCTCCTCAGGAGGGCTGTGAGCTCATAACGAGCCAGGAGAGCAAACGGTAAGAAACAACGTGAGAGCTATTAAAGGCTGCTCATTGGATCAAGGTTTCAGCACTGCAGGGCATATGGGAGCATGGCTGGAGGCCTTTTCCTACTCTATCCTCATTGCCGCTACCTCATTAGACAAGGCCAAGAAGCCTGGTTCGGAGTCACCTTAGAGTTTGCTCCCATCCTCATGATTTCTGACTCGATAGGCCTAGGGCTGAGACCCAGCATCAATCCCTAACAAGTTCCAAGGCGGCAGCTGCTGGTCCTGGGGCCACACCCTGATAAACACAGGTCTAAAGGTCAACACGGTCCCGAGGGCCCTCGCTGAGTCTTTCAGAACAGTGAAGCATTGTAGTATAGAGCGATTTCTTAGAGGAGTGAAAATAGTATTATTTTATAATAATAGTAGTATTCACATCAATATTATTGATGGCCCCATGGTGTGCCCAGTGTGGAGTGCTATATATATATATATATGTAATTCTTTGCCCCATCTTCTGAGACTCCAGAATGTGAAATGTTAGGTGTCCGTTACTGCGAGATGAATTTTTAATATTCATAATGTATACACAATGAAAGTGTTGGTGCCATGAGACAAGTTAGAGCTTCATAATGCAAGAATCCTTAGAACTGGGTACAGAACACCCTGTCTTCATCACCACCTAACCACAACCTCAGGGAGCATCTCTTAATTACCAGTGTGTGTGAGACACGTCCTCCTGATACACGGATGGGAATCACCCACACCAAACCAAAGCAAAAGTAATCCAAAACTGGACCACATCTTCAGGGGTGTGACACCAAACGCTCAACAATGGCTCAGGGCTGCTTGCCACATTCGTTCATTTCCATGGAGTAAATCCTACCACAGCAGATTTCACAGCACCCAAGCGAGGCTGCTGAGCAAGAGCTGTGCCCCTGCCGCTTTTGTGAAGCATCCAGGCTTCCTTCCCACACTTCGCTCCCACCACATCTTCTGTCTGGTGGAAGCATCTGCTTACCCAGTGAGGTTGCTTCCTTACTACGTTTGAAACTAAACTTTCCCAACCTTTTAAAATTTCTGCAATCAGCACAGAAACTCAGTGCA